TGTGTGAACTTGATTTATGGTGTAAGATATATCCTTGAATAGAACTCGGGGAGGTTAGCCATAAATCCCACTTCCCATGACACCCCCTTCTGTCCTTTGCTCTGCAACTCGATCGACTACAAGCAGTAAGATTACGTACTAGCTCCCCTTAAAGAAATTCTACTGTGCTACAAGCTACGATAATGCCTGGAGGGCAGCAGATTAGGTATTGTAGTTGTATTTATGCTAGTTACCCTAAAAAGTCTCTCCACTGCATGAAAAACCTCTATATGAGGTAGTGCATCCTAAATTAATTCTGAGTAATACATTGCTTTAACTGGGTGTATATTCTTTTCGCGTCCATCGTGTCCGATTATTGTTTCTTGGAAAAGGTGAGGGATGAAATAATGCGTAAGCACTATATCACGTACACCAGAACTAGGTCTAAGTAATATTTATTTTCCTCCATCATCGTCCTACCGTTATTTTTGCAATTCCAAGTAACCCAAGACAAAAAAAAACTTTTACTTCAATACTACCGTTTTTGTATACATGTATCTTGTATTAAGTTACCTTGATACTCTTATATCCCCTCCTCCATTTAGAAAAGAGAGAGAGGGAGAGAGGGAGAAAGAACAAGAAGCATGCTTGATGTGTTGGAATAGGAAAGGCTGTGGTAAATTAGACCTAAAGTGTTCCAACGAGAGGAGAAGTGCTAGGTTAAGATGGATACAATGTAGGTAATACTAGAAATAGAAAGTGCTAACACAGGACTGCTGTGAGAGCGAACATGGTATTATAATAGGTAAGAAGAGTATACGGTGTAGTTATGCAAAGAGGCGAATACCACTACAGTGGTAGATCATTCCTTTTGTCCTATTGGAAGAATTACTCGTCTGCGAAAGAAAAAAGAATTAGCTGCTGAGAGCGTTTGTTTGCCTTTCTTATGACGAAAGACAGCTAAGCCATTATACCCAGGTAATGATGAATATAAATGCAGCTTCTTCCAATATATATATGTCTAGATTCAAAGTCGAGTTTTTGCAATAGCTTTTGTAACAGTGTTGTCGCGGGTTGTTTGAGTGCTTGGAAATATTTTTGCGTCGTTATATCTCCATCTTATGTTTGAGGAAATACAATACTCGATTGCCAGGCAACCAAGCAATTCCTTTACTTGATACAGACAGATGATGGCTAAGTAGATATCTCGACTTGCATACCTGTCCAGACGAACAAAGCCTCTCCCACAGGTGTGCGCCTGTGAAAAGACATTGCAGAAACACAGCATCCATCACCAGTCTATTACTATTCTAAAACTTACAATCAGCCACCCACATCTCACGTCACTCAAGTATCCAGCCATCAAAGCCCCTCCTTCCCTGCTAATCCACTACACTACATGCCGGCGACCACTCCAACGCCACAACACCAACCTTACTCGCTAGACCACACATCTGCAGCTATACCTACACTGCATCTGGGTGTGCATGCGTGTGTCCAAATTTGGATCCCGCACTCGCCACCCACACAGACATGCCGGACGTCAGATGACCGCGTGCGCGGGCGATGGCGTTTTGCGCCATGAAGCTAGGTCTGTCGTATGTCGAAGCTAAAAGACGCCACGCTGGCAGCTTTTCGCCCCAATAAAAGACATGTGAAGCGGTGGAAGGAAGAGAGAAGGGAAGGGAACGCGAAGATACGCACAAGTCATCTTTTTTATTTGAGAAGAGGTATGTATGATTGGGGAGGGGGAAAGATCAGCGGATATACCGAAGTAGTGTGGATATTTCTGTTTTTTTTCCCGAGCCACAGTGTGATGTGATATGGTGCGATGATGCAGGTGGTGTTTTACTGCTATACGAAAGACGTAGTCTGATTGGATGGAATAACCAAAATAATTGAGCATGAGCATGGTTCGACGACTCAAAAGGCTATGTTGTTGTGTGTATCCTACACTCTGCATGCATGCATGCATGCATGATGCTTCGAGTGCGGCGCCACATGCGGTAGATGGTGTGTATACATAATACAAGCAAGTCTCTCACTACTAGATGCGGAAAAAAGGCGACTCAGTTTATCTAAATGTGGGAGAATAGACGGCGAATCAAGCGGCAGATGGTGCACATCAGTACCTGCAGAGGTATGCACGGGTATCGAGTTCCGCCAAAAGCAAGCGTAGTGCAGCATAGCCGGATGATCCATTCGGTCGCACCGACATCGGAAATCGCGGCCCACTCCATGTTTGTGCATCGATACATACGTACGTACGCATGCTGGATCCATGTAAGTAAGTAAGTACTCTATATGAAAGACCAGGGAAAGTTACACCTATGATCAGCACGACGCTTATCAGACGGGAGGCTTCATGACAAGCTTCACGCACGCTTGCGCCGGCCATGACTCACTTGGAAAGAAAGAAAAAAGCCACGAGCAACCATCGTGAGGTATGCTGGACACCGATCAATAATGACTAGAATGCATGCGGCGCCACCGTCGCTTAGAGGGGGTGTGAAGGAGAGCCGGCGGAACCGCACAAGGGCAGGCATCATCGTGTCTACAAGTACACCATGTGCAGTTAGCAAGACGCTGCTAGTAGGCCCAAGCTCTCTTGCCCAGCAGCGAACGGCCCTTGACGGTGAGAATGGCGATGAAAGGATCAATACGGCGAGCGCGGTAAGGCAGGACGGTGCGTCGGACATAAGCGAGAATTTTATACGGTTATCCTAGATCGATTGGTCCCAAGCGTACGTAGTATGCGCAAGTAAGTATCTAAGTAGTGTAGTCATTCGAGTCGGTGAGCATCACTGGGTAGGGGGGTGGTGCGCTGAGAGGGGGGCAAATTGTGCCACCTTGCGGTCCCAAGGGCTTGGGGATGATGTTGCGGGCAGGGCACTCAGGAATGAAGCGCGATTGATTGATTTGGACACTTTTGTGAGCGGCTACCCGCCGCACTGGACCAGAAGCGATCGGTGAACCTTCTTGTTGTTCGCATGTTTCCGGTCTGGAACGTGAGCCAACCAGAAGGCCAAAAACACGGATTTGTCACGGGCGTGGATGGACGCATGTAGATACCAGGACGGGTTGGATGGATGGTATGTGTGCGTGTGAAATGTATATGCGACACGGACCCGAGCCAGCGTTACAGCATGTTGGAGTACCTCGTACTACTAGGGAAGGTTAGGTGGGTGGTTCGCCAGGCACGGAGAGAGCGAGAGAGATATGCAGGTGGTGTAGGGTAGTGGGAAGAGAGACCGGCAAGACGCGCATGCGGGAGGAATCCTTCAGAACGGCAGTGTGGCACGGCAGCGACGTAACAATGGACCATGGTCTTTTCAGTCGCGGCAAACGCTGATTGTTAAGCATAAAAGAGGCAGCGGAGAGAGAGAGAGAGTGCGGAAGATACGCGCACGGAAACGGAAGCATCAGAGTCCCAACCAATGGCAGGGCCTTCGCAGACCATCTCTTGTCTGGGCTTTAGCGCGCAGCAGCTGGAGCGGGCGCGTGACATGCTTTGATTGAAAAGAAGCATCCGCTTAGACGCATGTGTAAGTAATGTAGTTATGCGAGTCGTCGGGTTAGCAATGGCATGTTCCGGGTCGTGGGATACTATCTTTTTTATGCAGTAGCGTCCAAGCGGCATAAGCAGGCGTGAAGGAGAGTGTACTTGAGTACATGTGAGCACACGTACATAGACAGATGAGGAAGCGAGTAAGAGAGCACGATAGTGTGAGAGGGAAGAGTGTCTGGCCTAGAAGCGAACACGAGCGTTTCCGTGCTACCTGTCATTGGAATTACATGAGAACAAAGTTAGTTGGGTACACTATACTTTTTTCGAAACTAGCGCCTACATCGCTTGTGCACACGCCCGTCCAACCCCCATGCACATGGCTAACCGCCAGCCACGACGACTCGACACTAGCCAAACCGTTTCGACATGTGCGTGGGTGTTCCAGGACGGGAAAAGAAGTCTTACTTTAAGAACGACGATCTGTTCCTGAGCACTCAGTCTAACCGGCAGTCGCTTGCCGGACGAGGGACGAAACATAGCGCGGTTTTGCGGAGTCGGTCCGATGACCGCAGATGGAGAGCGCAAGACAGTGAGATGGAGCATGGGTAGATGATGAGCTGGAAGGAACCGCGACGTGGGATGGCATCATGTCCATGGCTGGCATGGCATGAGCCAGTATACTCGCCACTGTACTGCGACCAGATGAGCCCACCATACTCGCTGCCCACGCGCCAGGAGCGCTCTGTCGCATCCTGGCGAGCATTAGTCTACTTGCCTTGCTTTGCCAGCCAAGGCCAAGTCACTTGGAGCCAGCCCGCCGCTATTCAGTCCATTCGACGACAATGCTCATGCCTCACCGGCTGGTCATTGATGGCTGGCTGTCTCAGCCCAGGTACGTGCGTACCCGCCATCTGCGTCAACGTCCGCTAACACACATACTTTTGATCGTTGTCCATGAGACCACAGGCAACGTACGACAAGTGGCACGACCAACAACGTGCTAAATTTTTTGCTCCTTCCCATTTACACCCACCGGAAAATTGTCTAAAACCTAATAATGCTCACCCACCCCCAACTGACATGCCTAACCCGTCCTATCCATCAACTGCCTTCGCAAAAACACCATTTTGGAACGATCCGTCGTTTATCTCATCATGCCAAGAGCTTCCGAGATCGTGGCGGACCTAATCATCTCTTTCTCTTTGCCAACTGTGTAGTGTATCACTGGGCGCCGCGCATGTCACCACCTACTATAACCACCAAGAACACCAAGAACACCAGGAAGCCGCTGTTTTGCTGACCCAATCGACACACGTCTAGAATAATTCCAAGACAAAAGGGCTTTCCGCAAGGCTTACCCGTCCCACCTCATAGTAGTAGTACCATATGCCCAGAACCAGGCCCAGGGTTCGTCATATCGTCTCTCTCCAAAGTGCGGAAAACTCGAACAAGGGTTTCCCTCACGGACCCTAGTCCCCTCACGCAAGCAGCCCCCCCCCCCTCCCCCACCCCTGGCCTGTCAGTGATATCACCTCAGAGGAAGCTTTTGCGAATCTTGCTAAAAAAATTAGCAAAGAAGGGGAGCGAGCAAAGGCAGGAAAAAAACGCTCCGACGTTAGACGGGCCGACCCCAGAGATAAAGCTTGAGACACTTTCGACATGAACCGTGCAATTGGTATCCAAAGGGGGGACAGTGACAGCCCTGTTGAAGCCCAATGGGGGGTTGCGAGTCAGGCCAGGTGTTGCATGTTGAAGCGCGTCACGTGGCATTCGCCATCAACAACGTGTTTCGTGACTTGGGCGGCATGGTAAGCGGGTTTGGCGTTAGCTTGCGCGTTAGTGTGCCGGACATGGTGGTTGCACTATCCCCTTCGTGTCTCGCCAGTTCATAATCGTAATGCACATGTGATGGATTTTCGAAAAACATTGGAACGCGTGTACATTTGACTAGGTATGCTTGGACGCTTTTTTTTCTCTCCCCCTTCTCTCGCATACTAGAAATCCATTCCCTCGGGTCCCTTCCGCCTCCTTCTTGCTCTCTCCCTCTTGCCTCATTTGTTGCCTTCTACGCTGTTCGGCAACCTCCGAACTCGTACTCGCAATAACAATGTACCGGGATCACCGTCATCATGCATGTTTGCGGAGAGCGCGGAACAAGCACAGCCGCACTCGACCTGCCACCATCCATGCCATGTCGAGCCCCAGGATCCTAGTACCACCTCAACTGTCTCGCTGCCACGATCAACCATGTTGGCCCCAAGATTTCCAAGCACGTAATGTGCCCATGGTTTTGTAATCCTCGTGTTCGAGAAGGCTGACCGTGCCATGGATGTGGTACTGTCGCAACTATTGCCCTGGCTGCGCCATCGTCAAAGAGGCATTGCGGTACGACGCCTCATCCATGTGATGCCTGCCTTCTTCTCGCATCGACTTTCCACACCCAGCCCAGACCTCATCCAACAAGCACGTGCGGTGTCCCCCCGTCTCATCGTTTTTTTTTTTTACATCGGAAGGACTACCGGGAGATAGTCGTTCGTTGCTGGCCTTGCGAGCTTGGTGGCTTGGTAGCCCTGAATCGTAGGATTTCAGTCTTGGACCCTGGTTCCGGACGTGTTTGGTGGATTTTGACAGGTCGCTTTCGAAACTTGGTTACAATTTTTTCTGCAAATGTGCTCTTGTCGTTGCTTCAATCACTCGATATTTCTTTGGGTGGTCTCCGTACGGAAAGTCGAACACAAAAAATTGAATGGGCCAAAACTATACCCTACTACCAAATATACATGGGCCTGAGGCCTGGGACAAGGAAAAAAAGATATGCGCTGTTGGACTTCATGCTCTGCTCCTGGACGTCCATAAAATCTATTGCTTGTACATCATGGGATCCACAGGGTAGTTTTGGATGGAAAACCTGGGATCGTATCCTGTTGCATTGACGCCCATCTGGTGGTTTTGCATATGGCTATGTGATGTGGGAATCTGCATGTTGCTGTGTCCTACAATTTGCGACCGTGACTGTGACATGGGCGCTTCGTATGGACCAGGTGTCGTCGAGGTGCTTCTGTTGGCAGTGCTCGTCGAATGTGAAGTGTTGTGTGAGGTGTCGTATAGCGATAGATCGCCGACGTGGGTGGTGGGGGCAGGAATCATGGATTGCTGAGTCGTGTTGAAGGGAAGTTGGGCACCAGTTTGAGCGGCCAGCCGTCGAATGAGATCGTTGGAATGGTACGAGGGCGAAGATGAGGCGGGACTTGCCGAAAAATCTTCGGCGACGTTGGAGGGAAGGGTCCCCGAACCAGTAGCATTAAGGCCGAGCGTCGATGCGGGAACCGTCTGGGGGAGGTTTAGGGATCGGGGAAGCGGTAAATTGGGCAGGACTTCGGAGAGTTTGGCCAGTAGGAGAGGAAGATATCGCGACTGTCCTCCGCGCAGTGTCGAGATGAGTGTCAAGAACCGCGATACGTAGTCTCGAGGTCCAAGGGCAAACGCGTCTGGTGAGAAGGATGTGCAAGCGACCACGTCAGTCAGACAACAGGCTATGTCGAACAATTTCTCGATCTGAAATCCTGTTAGCTAATGACTGGCCTGACAGATAGGGTAAAACGTTGCAAGGGTGGGATGTGCAGGGACGACTAGGGGGTGAGGTCGAGGGGGGACTAAGCTAGTCAGGGCGTGGACGTCAGAGATAGACGTTGGCTAGCGCCGCCCTAGTAAGATCGCAATATGACAGGGATCTCTGCACAAGACGGAGGGGCTGGAGCGGGGATGAGAACTCCAATGTCAAGACAGGAACAAGCATGCAAAAGAAAATGAATCTACTTACCAAGCCGACGCCGTGGATTTCCATGGATTGCTGCGAGAACTGGTGTGAGATTGTGAGCAAGTCGCGGGCGATTTCGATTGGGTACTTGAATGTGAGCGGCACGTCATTCGAGACGCTGCTTACGAGCCCTTGACAAACACTGAGCTGCCAGGTCTGTGACTTCAGCCACTGCTGAGTGATACGAATTTGCACCTCTTGCGCCTCGCTGCATTCGAAATATGCAGGGACGGCCTCTGTAAGCTGTGCCTGCACCTGCGTTATCCATGCAGCGCTCACATGTGTGTTGTGTACCCGATTCCACAGATTGATAAAGGTGTCGTCGATAATCTTGAACATGTTGATCATGAGCTCCAGTCCAACCGCAATTGGCCGATCCGTGGGTACTTCATCTAATTGAGGAGGATGTATGGTGGGGTGTAATGTGATAGGTCGGTGTTTGTGTAGAGCGTAGGTTCTGGCATATCGTTAGAAAATGGAGCAAACGTAGAAAAAAGTTCAGAGCGTGCGTAGACATACCGTTCGGCGATGAACAAAAGCCAGTAGAGGACACGCTTTCGGGATACATCCAAGGGATCGTGTTTGTACGTCTCCTCATCATGCATACCCAGCAGTTGCGCGTGTGTTGTGGCTTCCCGGAGATATGTCCAGGCTGTGTTCTCTCGTGCCAGTCCAAAGTAGCAGCCACTGTAAAACCACGAGGTAAGCACGCTCGTGTGCGTGGGGTTCTCGCGGTGGTCGTAGCCTTGTCGCACACGGACTGATTCTTCTAGGAGTATGTGACCAACACCGACATTTGACATGTGAGCCATCTCTGGACGAGGGAGCACGCTGACGGGTGGTTTGTGGTTGGCCTGAATCATGACGTATGCACACAGTGCAACAATCATACAGTACAATTCAGTGGAGCGGTCCATGCCAACGGCTGCTTCCTGCGCCCTTTGGCGGTGCAGGACAGGCTCTGAGGGGTAGACATGGTTGAAGAAGTATTCTATGCAGCTCTCAACGAGAGCGGGGGGTAACAGCCCTTGGGTGCGGGCAAATGTAGCGGGCAGTGAGCGTCCGTCAAAGCCGAGATCGGTTGGGTAACCAGCAGCGAGCTGAGCGTTGCGCTGGGTTTCGCGGAGTTCGGAGAGGACTTTGGCGCGGCTGCCCTTGGGACCTTTCTTTTGCGGGATGGCATTGTATGTGCATGCAAGGCCAGCAGAAACACAATTCTTGCATGGCGCGGTGCCTTCTCCGATGCACTTGACCTTTCTTCGGTGGCAGCTGTACAGGGCGACAGTGTGAGTGTGGGAGCATCGACGTTGAGTGTACCGACGGTACGTACCTATCGCAGGCTCGCTTGACCGGAGCAGTCGAGGTAGGATTGGAAGCCATGAGGGAGTGACAAGCTAGTGTGGGAACGTCTCGTCATCTACTTGATGAGGAATGCAGTCGCCGAGCGGATCCGCTGGTTCCTTTTAGTACAACAGACATGTTGCGCCTACATTCGGGGAGATACCGTAGAAGGTTGCTTGTGTCATTGTGCTTGAATGAACGCTCATTCGCACCTGGTTAACCTGGACGATTGAAGAGCCCAAGCGTCGAAAGTGCATATTAGACTCAACTAGTTAGCATCACTGGACCAGCCGGGATGGGGCTGGAGGCTTGCGAGTCCAATGACCTAGCCTGGAGAAGCGGCCTGAGTCCCTGGTTCCACGGACTGGGGAAGGAGTCTGCAGGGCAGCGCGTCGGAAGCCGGTTTAACGCTTACCACACGGCCGCAAGCCATGGGGCTTAGGCGGTCTGCTGGCTGGACCATGCTTGGAGAAACATCCCAGGCTGACCGCTGGGCATGCGGCAGCGATGGCACGGTCGGTTCCTGCCAGCGACGGGAGCTTCATGTTAGTGTGATTTTTAGGGCGACCTGTAACTGGCCGAGGTTGCCCCGCTGGGCAAGTAGCCCGTAATGGATGCCCTGGGTTGTTGCGATATTTTTCCCGAACATCGAAAAGGCTTATGTCGCAGTATCAAAAACGTGCTGAGCCCCCTCGGGCTGTCTGCAGCACAGCGCAGCCTGGCCTGGTCCCTGGCCACAGCAGACGCTCTGCTCATCCGCGCGCGCAAGGGAACGTCACAATCTCATTTCGCCGTGGGGTGTCAGACGCTGCTGCGCAAGTGCCTAACAAGAAACATAGGCTGAAGTTAGAACTGACCACCTCACTCCCTGACTGATGAACCGACACACACTGCTTGGGCAGCGTCCGTATAATGGGAGAGACACGGGTTGATAACGCCGACAACGGCTTGCTCTATTGTCGAGGTTTTGCGTGGCGACATGGGGCCGTCGATACTTGCCGCAGTCGTCGTCATGCAACCCAACAATTCGACGTAGCTCAAAAGCACCTGACATGGAGAGACGCTCGAGTGTGCTGGACGTGTACGTAGTGCGTAGTAGCAGGAGCAGCCATGAATCGATCGTCTGTGTACGTATCAGACGAGGAGCTGCTGTCCACCGAGGCGCAGCAGCCGGCAAAGATCCTTGATGGGCATAGCCAGCGGGCGAGCGAGGAGAGGTCTCATAGGGTCGCCGCGTTCCGTTGCTAGGCGTCGTTCGAACATTGTTTCTCTGTCTGTATACGTACGGGACTGCGGACCCAAAAAGGTCTGTCGAGCCGCTACGGCGCTGTCTTGATAACTTATATCTTCTTCTCTAAAGGGCCTTTTGCGGTCTCCACCATCCGATCGCGACATTCAAGCTTCCGAGATGCTGCCGGCAGCGATCAAAATTGGTACAGGACCGTTGAGACCGCGAATGGGAGAGGCTGGACCCGCCTCCAGAAGTAGTGCTGTCACCGTCCGGTTACGTTTACGCTAGACGTCACGGCGAATAGAATTTGCAAAAGGCGCGAGAAGTCCTGAAAGACCGCCCGCGTTGTGTACATTTGCATATACGTATAGTCATGGTGTTGAGGCTTTGTAGATCCGGGGAACTGGCGACATGTACCTCCCACGCTCATGCTTCGCTAGCGGCTGCGCCCGTGGTAAGATTCGTGATGCTTGGCACGTCCTCCGCGGAGCCCAACGTCACC